CAGTGCTATTTAATAAAGAGGGCTCGTAACTAAGTCAATCGGTAACTAAGGATATGTTTAGGTGATTCCTAATCAAGGTAGGATCTGAGACTAAGCAAAAGTGCAAATTAACACTTTATTTCGATGCAACATAGTTTAAGTCATGAAAAAATGTTTAACAGGAAAATGTCCTTTCAATACCCAAGAATCCTAACCCATAAGATTTCAACACTACCTTTTTACTTACACAATCTCCGAGTACTACATTTAAAAAGAAAATCTACCCAAAACATAACTGGACTTCACCCAGTATAAAGCGGTGATTCATGTTTCATATTCAATGTAAAAGCCAAGATGGAGTTGTAAAGAGTTTCTTTCCCATTTCAACTCCGACAGCCACGCGCACCTCGCAGGGGCCGGCTGCACCGCGCGGTCGCCGGGGCCGGCTCGAAGCCCCCGCCCTGCCCCGCGCTGCCTTGAGAGGAAGCGCCGGGGACCGCGGGCGGGCGGCTGGGGATCCACCAGGCCTGGCCGGGCGGGGGAAGGGGCGCGGGAGGCCGCGGGGCGCGCTTCCGGGGACTGCGCGGGCGGGGCCGTTTCTGTGGGGCGCGGGGCCCGGGCCAGGAGGCAGGGGCAGGGGCCAGGACCCAGGGGCAGCCAGCCGAGAGCAGCAGGTGGGGCGCGGCCGCGGAGGGGCGGCAGGCGGGCTGGCGGCCGGAAGAGTGCCGGGCGGGCCCGGGGCGCCGCGGCGCCAGGAGGGGACCCTCTGGCTCACCTCAGGCGACGACTCGCAATCCGACCTCTCCACGCCAAGGACGCCTGTCCGCGAGTCGCAAGCTCGGAGACTACGGCGGGTGGCTGAGGAGACGGCGGCAGACTAACGAGAGAACCGACGGAGGACGGCGGGCGGCGGGCGGGGAGCTCGAGCGAGCGAGGGCGGTCGGCGGCGGGAGGGCGGGGAGCGACGTGCGCGCTCCCGTGTGCCAGCGGGCTCGAGCCAGCCCCAGTCGCGGCCCCGCGCGCGCGCGCGCACTCACAGCTCAGCTACGATTGCTCAGGAGCGCGTCCACGCCCTAAAGGCAAGGCGCTTAACCAATCACTGCAGCCGCGTGGGGCATCACGGGAACTCCAGGGCTATAAAAGACCTGGTTGCTATTTTATGCTTCTCGACTCACTCATCCTTTAAGTAAGCAGGGTGGGGCTGGGTGCGCGTGCGCGGTTTTAATACTCCTCCCTAAACTGCCAACTCTTCGCGCAAGCGAAGTAGGCTAGCTTTGCCTGGTTTTACGCGTGCGCACTAACGGGCCTGGCCCCGGAAGACCAGACGCCTGCGCAGTGGGAACTACGGTGACAGTCCCCGGGGTGGGTTATGGGCCAGTCATGGCGGAGCCTTGGTCTGGGCAGTCCTTGCAGGCTCTGCCGACCACGGTGCTGGGCGCGCTGGGCACCCTGGGCAGCGAGTTCCTGCGGGAGTGGGAGACCCAGGACATGCGAGTGACCCTCTTCAAGCTGCTGCTACTGTGGTTGGTGTTAAGTCTCCTGGGCATCCAGCTGGCGTGGGGGTTCTACGGGAGCACGGTGACAGGGCTGTATCACCGCCCAGGTGAGGCTCCCCTCCCCCACTGGGACTGCATCATTGGGCTCCCCAGAATCCCCTAGACTACCACTGGTCCTCTTAGGACCTCATCACAACTTAATTCTGCACCCTAGTCCATGCCAACACACCATTTCATGCCAGATACCCTTGTCCACCCATCCCATTTTAACTTCCTTTGAGCCTCTATCAGACAATACCACTAGTCCTTTAGGGCCCCCACGAGACTCTTCACCGAACAACACCATTGGCCTTACACCTGACCTGGGCTGATGCCTGCTCAGATCCCCACCCCCAGCCTGCTGCAGCTCTGGATGTGTTCCTGCCCCCAGGTCTGGGCGGCCAGAACGGATCCACACCTGATGGCTCCACGCATTTCACTTCGTGGTGAGTAAATCTGTGCCCATCGCAACCCCATGCTTGGCAAGCAGAGGACAGGCCTGTGCTGGGAACAGGGATGGGGACAGTAAGTTCTCAGGATAGGAGTCCACCAGTTTCTTGGCCTTTACAGCAAGCCCCAAGGTCTTCAAGTGGAGCTCAGGCTCTAATTTCTGAATAGCCCACCAATATGCTGTTCAGCAGCTGGTAGTGCTATTGTGACAATTTCAGAAATGAGGTGGCAAGTCTGTTGGGTTCCACTCTACTGCAAGCCCTTCAATTAGAAAGGTAGAAGCCTCTGTCCTTACTGCATTTACTGGCCTTACCAGCCTCCTCATCTGTAAAACATCTACTCACTAATCAGAGCATTCATTCAATTAATTTCTGAGCTCCTTCCATATGGGGGAGGGGGGGGTTGGGAGAGAGCAACTAGGTCCAGAGAACAAGAACAACCCAGGCCCTGTTAACAGGGAGATCCAAGGGCACCTGGGTGGCTTAGTTGGTTAAGCGTCCGACTTTCGCTCTGGTCATGATCTTGCGGTTCAGTGGGTTCGAGCCCCGCGTCGGGCTCTCTGCTGACTGCCAGCTCAGAGCCTGGAGCCTGTTTCAGAGTCTGTGACTCCCTCTCTCTCTGACCCTCCCCTGCTCACGCTGTCTCTCTCTCTCTCTCTCTCCTAGAAATAAATAAAAATATTTAAAAAAAAACAAAAACAAAACAGGGAGATCCAGAGATTTAAAGGGGGAGGGGGCAGCAAAAATAAATAAATAAAAGGGAAGGGCAGCGGTGTAAGGGCAAGGGCAGTCAAGAGTTTTCTCCCAAAACAGACACCTAACCTAAGGGCAAAGACCAGAGAGTGATTAAGTGTACCAAGCAAAGAAAATGGATAGAATAAGGCCCAGGGCAAGAACAAGGGTATTATATTGGAAGGACAGACAAAGCTGTGACACTGGAGCTCAAACATGAAGGCATGGAGGGACACATGAAACCCTATCCCAAATCTCAGGAAGCTATTGAAGGACTCAGCAAGACTATAGCCTAATCTAATTTGTCTTTATAACTGCCTGTTTCATGGCAAGAAGATAAAGGGTCCAATAGAGAAGGCAAGAGGCCACTTAGGAGTCCTGCCACTGTCCAGGTCCTGGGCACCTGGGCAAGGATAGGAACACCATAAGGTGAGGAACCAGGAGGAAGAATGTGTCTGCAGGGGAAAGGTGAGGGACCCAGTGTGGGCTGTGTGAACTTAGTAGAGAGGTCTAGATTGTAGTGTGGCCTTACTGAGCCCCTCAGCCCCTAAAGGGCTAGAGAGGGCCAGCCTCAGGGACTGTTGTACTGCCTGTGAAATAATCCTTTTCTCTTCTCCATCACTTTTAGGGAAACAACAGCAAATGAACCTCTCAAAACCCACAGAGAATAAGGGAAGGCAGCAGAAGGATCTCCAGGGACATCACCCAGTCTGCTGATTCCCACACTGGGTTCTGCTGCTGCCTAGACCCCAGAGACTGTACGGGGAAAAGGGTTGGGGGCAGGAAGTACCCAAGTGCTTGCAGACCTGCCCCTCCACTGCTCTTGGCCTTGCCTTCAGCAGCTCCAAACATTGGGCCAGTAAAGTTTGCCTCTACCCAGATCTGGGTGCCTTAAGGAGAAAAGACATGTTCCTCCTCTCTCAGGGGTCAGCTCAGGACGAGCCTCTGGGTTAGAGAAGGCCAACAGTCCATTTTCTGCCTTGGCTTTTTCCTCTCCCCCTTCCCATCCCTTGGAATATGACCCCATAGAAATGTCCTTGAGAAGAAACTTGAGGTTGACCAGCTCTGGGATTTGTAAGGGAAGTCTGTTTTCCCCTAAGCTCTTGAATTTGATTTTGCTTTGTTGGCAGGGAGCCAGGAAACACTGGCCTGGATATGGCCTTTTACTCTGTGGTTACTTAACTGGCCATTCAAGTTAAGGCAGGGGGAGCTGGCACTATCTGGACATGGGGGCACCAAACCACTTCCCTGGCCCATCTAGAGCTTTTCAGGTGTGGTTCAGGCTATGGAAAATTGTCTTTTCCTGGATATCAGCTCATTCATACTCTCCCAATCCTTCTTGTTGGGAGGTTGGGTGCCTGAAAGAGACTAAGCCCCGAGGGTGACCTTCTACCCTCACCACTGTAAGTGCCCATGGGGTTGTACCCTGCCTCCTCACAGAGAGATACTTAGTAGTCAGTGCTGAGTGGCCCTGCCACTTCCCATCTTGACCCAGAACCACAAAAGCTTCATCCTAAGAGGCCACAGGCTCAGCTCCTCCCCACTTACGACCCTCTCAGCCCCCAAGAACCCTCCTTCAACAGCAGGGAGAGCCAAAGCCTAGGAAGGCCTGCCACTTACACAGTGATCCAGGGGAACTTCCAAAGTGGTGGGAGGCTCATGCCAGTTTCTGAAAGCAGCAGGACACTAGAACTGCCTCCCTTCCCGAAGGCTGTACTTCTATACCTGTTTCTGCTTGGCCGCCGGCTACCTCAGTGTCCCGCTGCCTGCTTCCTCTATTAGAGATCACGATTCCATCTGGCGGCCTTTGACTAGGCCACCTTTGCAGCGGAAGCACACTGGAAGTAGGACTGCACTGAACTCATGTATCTACACTGGAGGTATCTTCTGGCTGGTGGGATGATGGTTCTGTAGCCTCAAGCCTACCCACTGACACCACTACACATAGAATCAGGGTCTCACATTTCACCCCAGGTTCAACTAAGGACGTGGCTCATTAAACTTGGAAGTGCATCAGTTGTGTGGTTATTCAGACAGGACAAGGGTGTGTATGTACAGGGGAAACTGGAAAGGGAACACCTGGGGCTCCTGCCTCTCAGCGCCCAGAGGTGGAGGTGACACCAGCTCCCTGGAAGAGCAGTGGTGGGTGCCCAATAGGGAGAGGGCACTATCCTCATTGTTTTTATAGACCTGCCCCTCTCAAGGAGAATCCACTGTAGGCCTGCCTCAGAGCGTAGGCAAGGAGGCATTGGGCTGGCACCCTAGAAATCATGCAGACAAAGGACAATGAAGCTAGAGACTGGCAAGCAAGAAGAAAGGAAGCTTGTTTAATGTTTTGTTAGAAGTCAGTAGAGTCCAGTAATGGGCCCCAGGGGCAAAGGTCAGCCCAGAGTAAGGCAGGTCCAGGAAGAGGCCCAGTCTGCTCTATAACAGCCCTGGGGCTCAGAACAGGTGGCGAGTCTGGCATGGTTTGCTACTTGGCAGCAGGCTGGGCTAACTTGGGAAGATGGAAGAGTAAGTCTGTGCCCCCTCAGCTGTCCCAAGTTTATACAGGCACAACGGCCCAACAGGGCCAAGCCTCTGTGAGTCAGGAATCATTCCTGCCCAGGGAGAGGCAGCGCTACCCAAGGTAATAACCCCTTTGCAGTATGAGAAACCATGGTGAGGTAGGGTGGGCAGGCTTCCTCTCCTGCCTAAATATAAGCCTCTATTCCACAGCCAGCACCTGGCAGAGTAGAAGGGAAAGATGCCAGAACTATAACTTCCCATAGCCTTCCAGCAGACAAGAATGGGGTCAATGGGAGCATGAGCTGACATTGCATAAGCTAGTCCATTGCTCAGAAATGGGGTCTTTCAAGAAGTGTGCCTCCAGGCACATGACGAGAGGGAAAAATAGGTGGTATGGCTCTCCCCTCAACCAGAAAACCAGAACCAACCTCCACCCTAGCCGCCTACCCCCAGTGTATTCAGCCTCAGCTTCCTGACTAACCCTTGTAGAATGCCCTCCAGGTCCAGGCTCTTGGACAGGAGGGGCCTTGACTCAATCCACCCTCACTTGAGGGTATAGTAATTTGTAGTCACAAAGGGCATCTTGCTGACCACAGCCATTTGCTGCTTCCGCCGCACCTCTACCAACAGTGGGGTACCTGGCCGACTGTACTCAGAGGGCACATAACCCATGGCCACATTCTTCTTCAGGCAGGGAGAGGGGCAGCCACTGGTAATAGTACCTGTGTGAGCAGAAGCCATATGTCAGCACCACCTTACCAGTCCAATGCCCACCATCCTAGGGAAGGGACAAGGGCTCTCCAACTTTCCTGGTCCACCTACCAATCACGGTGCCCTCTGTATTCAGGATGGAGCTGTGTGCCCGCATAGGTGCCCCCTCGCCCATTAACCCTACACGTCTCCGCTGCACCTTGCCCTTCAGCTGAGGAACAATGATCGACGCTCCAGGGAAGTCCATGGCAGTTCGGCGGCGCTTCCCTGAAGCATGACATCAGACTTAAGCCACAGTTCATAAGACCCTTGGAGGTCCTAGTTACAAGGAACCCAAGTAAAATCCATCCAGCAGGGAGGCCCCTTTGCTCAGGTTCCCCCAAGCTCCATTCCTCCCCTGCAATGCAGTCAGCCACCCACCTACCATCCCCAGGTCTTGAAGATTATGCTACCCATCTCAGCCTGCTATGTATCTAATGGGGAAGGCCACAGTGGCTACACAACTTTGGGAGCAGTCATAGGCTGACCACTCTAGCCTTCAGGATTCTATCCGAGTGCTGGCCCAGCTCACCCAGTGTCCAACCGAGGCTGCCTTCCACAGGTGTGGTGTGTTCATCAATGTCACTCCCATACAGGCAGAGGCCTGCCTCTAGGCGTAGGCTGTCCCGGGCCGCCAGCCCTGCCAGCTTCACCTCTGGATTTTCCAGCAGAGCTGTTGCCAGGTGGACTGCCCCCGCAGCTGGCACCGAGATCTGCATGGGGCACCAGAGAGCAGGTGAGCATCTGGCTCCAGTCCTGTGCCCTGCACAATCCTACACCTACTTTTTGACATACCTCCACACCATCCTCTCCTGTGTAGCCACAGCGGGTCACACGGCAGCCGGACACACCAAACACTTCCATCACAGCACTGGTCATGAAGGGCAGTTTTCTCAGGTCATCTGCCACGCCAGCCTGCAATACCTGGGCCGCAGTGGGGCCTGGGCCCAGGGAGACAGTGACCAATTGTCCAGGTCCTAGTTTCCCCCTCAAAGCTAAACCACAGCCCTTACTCAGGGACCAGAATAAGCCCTGAGCAAGTCCTATTCTGCAGGTGAGAGAAGGTACTCTTGCCCACAGCCCATGGAGCCTTATGGCAGGTGGAGGGAGGACATAATACCAAACTTAGAATTATGGCACACAGGGGCGCCTGGGTGGCTTAGTCGGTTAAGCGTCTGACTTTCACTTGGGTCATGATCTCGCGGTTCGTGGGTTCGAGCCCTGCATCGGACTCTGTGCTGACTGCCAGCTTCAGAGCCTGGAGCCTGTTTCAGTCTGTGACTCCCTCTCTCTCTGACCCTCCCCTGCTCACGCTGTCTCTCTCTCTCTCCTAGAAATAAATAAAACATTAAAAAAAAATCTTTAAAAAAATAATAATTATGGCACACAAATACCACCCCATGCACATCTTCCTCCTGAGATAGCCTCTGTGCTAAGTAGTTGAAAAAGCCAGGAGGCAAAGGTCAGCTCCAGCCCCAGCCTGGCCTGCTCACCTTGCAGGGCTAGCAAGGCATTGTCCACCACCTCCAAGCTCACATCACTGCCCATGTTCTGAAGCTCCTTGACCTTGCCCTGAAAGGAAAGACAGAAACACCATATCAGCTTCTAGGACCACTTACTAAGCACCTACTCTGGGCTGACAGCTGAAGAGCTGGGCAGAGTAGGCCAGTTCCCATCTGACAAGGTCACATAATGAAGGGGTATGGATGACCCAAGGCCAGGTCTGCCAACGCTACCATCAGGCTCCAGCTTTCACCTTCACCAGAGGATGCTCACTTGGAAGCCAGGATCAGTTTCACCTCCCCAACTCCCCCATCACTGAAACCTGGCATTCTCCAGGCAGGGCCCACTCTGGCCTGCTGTTCATTCACTCAAAAAGCTATTGTCTGAATCCCTTGTCCTGCCAGCTCTGTCCTGTTCTGTGAACAAGGAAGACAGGGTACCAAGAACACAGAGTTACCTGCATGAGGGCCAAGTCCTTGTCCCAGCAGCCAGCATTGGACACCACATACAGGTACCCCTCAGAGGTGCTGGTGATGATCAAGTCATCTAAGATGCCTCCAGCCTCATTGGTAAACAACGACAGCGTCCCCTAGTGCCAAAGTGGAGCATCTTTGCCTCCAGATCCAGGAGTCAAGACAACCCCTGCCCCAGGCCCACTCAGCCACCACAAATTCATGAACATGAATCCTCATGCACAGGGCTGGAAGGGGAGGAGTAGCAAAGCTAGGTGAGCCAAGGACCCTACCCAACCCCAGCGTTTTTGATCCTCATGCACTGAGAAAGTTTTCACCCCTTCCCCACCTTGGGAAACCTCCTGATCTGGCGGGGCCTCCGTACCCCGCCCCACTAGTACTGAGACCCCCACCTCACACTTAATCGATGACACCTAGGACTTGCTGCTTCATCCCACCCAGACCTGGTACAACTCAGTCCATTCCCCAAGCCCTAAGATGTTAACTTCAGAGTCCACTTTGATCTCATGAGCTCCACAGCAATACTCCAAAATACTGTGAGGCTGGCCTCACAGCCTCCCCACTGGATGGACAGAGTCTGAGGTTGAGAGGTCACATGAATCACCTGCGGATCTTGTTAAAATGCAGGTTCTGATTCAGGGTCTGGAGCAGGGCCTGACAGCATATTCCCTAACAAGCTCTTGGTGATAATAAGGCTGCTGTTTAAGGGACTACCTTTGAATTGCAAGGGGGTTGGCAGCCTGGTAAATCACAGAACAGGACATAAACCTGGGTTTCTAGCCTTTCAGCCTGGTGTGATAAGGATGGAATAGGCCCCTCCCTGCAGATAACAAGATGTCCAGACATGACACAGGGAACCCAAGACTGCAAGCACTGAGAAGCCATGTCTGATCCATTGTTGTGCCTCCACCATTCCCATTTGCTGGCTCATGACTAAGAACACCCATTTAGCAAAAAGTAAGAGGGACCCACCTGGTTTGGCCTTAGCTCTGCAATATCTCCAACCACGAGACTCTCCATCAGCTTCACCCGGTCACAGCCAAGTATCTTGGTCTGGGAAAAAAATCCAAAACCTCAGACCACAGTAATAGCTACAATCAGGAAAGCCACTGGGCAAGGAGGCATCCTCCCTGCCATCCAGAGTACAGCCCAATGCAGCCAAAGTGCCTGCGCAGTCTTTTGGTTCTACGGGGGCAGAGCCCACCTTCTGGTTCTCCCACACCCGCCAACACAGGAGGGGGTGCAATGGAGGTGTTTAGGGAACTTGAAAGGGCCCAGCACCATTGTGAAATATCCTCTTTTCCAAATCAACACTCAGGGCAATTAATGAGAATGGTGCCCAGCCCTGGGAAACCCAGGTCATAAAGTCTTGCTATGAAGAGGGAGCAGGCTGAAGAGATTAACAAGGAGACAATGAAGATATCCTCTGAGTTAATTTCCTGGGCTATAGTCTCTGACACCTGAGATCTCCACCTCTTCAGCAAGGGCGGCCCTTGGAATCCACCTCCCAAAAATGCCAGAAAGCTGCACCACAGTGGAAGGGGAAGAAGCCCTGACCTGGCAGCCAGTATGCCTCCCTGGCTCACCTGCAACATGTGGGACACGTCAAAGAGCGAGCAGTGCCGGCGTGTGTGCAGGTGTGAGTCAATGTGGCTGTCCCGGTACTGTACAGGCAGACTCCAGCCTGCAAACGCCACCATCTTCCCGCCATGAGCCAGATGGAAGTCATAGAGTGGTGTCCTGCGGAGCACGTCCTGCGGGTGGCTAGGTTCAGGGCCACCAGGGTCCCAGCCTCAACCTCCCCCCGACCCTACCCCCCCTTCAAAATTGGCATCATGCCCCAGCACCCTCTATCCCACCTGTGCGGAACTGAGTGGACGGCCCAGGGCCGACGGGAACGCCTGCAGACGCAAGCCCAGATGGGCCACCATGCTCACTGCCCGCTGCATTGTTGCCCGCAACTGGTGCAGCCGGCACTTGGAGGCCACCACTCTGCCAGGCACGCTGGGAGATGTAGTCCAGGCTCTGCTTGGACAGGTCTCTCTCCCATAAAGGGGGATCAGAAGGGGCGGGCAGCCCAAAAGGCACGCAGCCCCAAGAGCAGGCGCAGCCCCAAGAGCAGGCGGGGCTTTAGAGCAGAGTGCAATGACTCTAATCTGTAGGGAAACAGCCCCAGGCGACTCCAGTTGATCCTCCAGGGCAGATTAGGCTGTCCAAACCAGTTAAGCTGCTCAGAGTCAGAGCCAGGAGCTAGACCTCCCTTGATGACAGCCCAGCCTCCAAAAGGTCAAAGATCCAAAGGGCTGGAAGGCCTGAATTGCACATTCAGGACACCAGGAGTGCAAGGTCACGTGGGGGAAGGGAAGGGGTGGAGGACACTCTGGAGGGTGGAGTCAGCCTGGCTGGCTGAGCACATCAGTAATCTGGCCTCTGGTGAGGGTCTCCAGCTCCCCCACTGGGAGGACACAGGCAGCCGGCAGTCATGCATTCCACAAGTATTTATTGATCTTTCTGCACACTAGGCTCTGTGCTGGGTACTGGAGACACAGCCATGAATGAAGCACTGTCCCTGCCACCCCCTCAGGGACCTCCTCCCACACTCTTACACACACACACACACACACTCACACTCTGAAGGCTGCTACTCCCAGAGCACAGGACTGTGGTCATTACCCTTAGCAAAAGCTAAAAGGGGCTAAGTAAATGACCCCACAGGCAATGATAACACTTGCAATAGTTAACTAATAGTTAAGAGCAGAAGGTAGCCACCACAGGTAGCTGACCTGCCTCCAGAAAGCTGTTGAGCTGCACAGACTTCCAATATTCCAGGTCTAACACATAGTACAGTGCTGCTGCATCATAACACCCTGGGGCAAAGCCAGGAAAAAACAGAAAAGGTAGGTTTTCTCATAAAAGCAGCCCTCCTTATTCAGCAGCAGGCCTGGGGTCATAGCAGACCTCAGCCTCTTAAAAGACACCAGTGCAGGGGTGCCTGGGTGGCTCAGTTGGTTAAGCATCCGACTTTGGCTCAGGTCATGATCTTGCGGTTTGTGGGTTCGAGCCCCATGTCGGGCTCTGTGCTGACAGCCAGCCCAGAGCCTGGAGCCTGTTTCAGATTCTGTATCTCCCTCTCTCTCTGACCCTCTCCTGCTCCCGCTGTCTCTGTCTCTCTCAGAAATAAATAAAACATTACACAAACGTTTTTAAAAAAAGACACCAGTGCAAATGCCCACCTGGATCCAGACCCTACCAAGGTTGATCTTTCATCACCTGAGCATGATTCTTGGAAGGGGGAAGCTGGGAAAAGGGACAGGGTATGCTTTGAGCAAAAAGGCCCCAAAACTCATTCTTTGACACCAGTCTTGCCAGAGGCACTGCCCAGGCTGGATGGGCAGACCCATCTGAACACACATCCAGGAGCCAGCTCTGGGACCAAGGGATTCAGGCTGCCCAAATCCCCAGCTTCACTCCCTAGGCAGGCAGCAGGAGCTAAGACAGGAAATTTCTTCTGGGCATAACACAAAAGGAAAGAAGACCACGAGGGGGCGCAGAAGGAAGATGCGGGCTCCTGTTTTTCCCTTGAGCTTCCAAACTACATGACTGCCATGGCTACAGCAGCCTTCCAAAATGATAGCAGGTTCTAGTAGGTCACCCCTTCCCCTTGCATTCAGGGTGAAGGAGCAGGCAGAAGACTGGAGTGTGCATGTTGGCAGAGGGAATTCTTAGTAAACAGAACTGGAGTATTTTTAGGGTAGGAAAAGGAGTTTCAGGTGGCAGTCCATTGAAGACAGAGTACATCCCTGCTGACAGCTCATGCTGAAGCAACACAGTTTAGCCCCCAAGAATCTTGAATCTGTGAATGTGGCCCAGACACAGTGGGCATGCAGGCAACACTCGGAATGCACAGGGAAAGCACTTCAGCCTCTGGTGTCCTAAACCAGGTCTGGGTGGGCCCAGGAGGCCAACATCTTGGCTAAGAGCCACGGTTCAAGTGTAGGAAAGCAAGTTCAGGTCATAACAGCCATCCACCTGAAATACAAAAGACCATCAATCTGACCAGCTCAAGCCAACAGGAGCCAAACAGGGGGAAGCGATCACTCACATCAAAGCGGCCGATCCTTGTGGAGGTGTGACTGGCCCGGATCATCTCTGTCAGCGCCCACATCTGCTGCACCTCGGAGGATACCCTGCTGGGGTCTGGGAGACCCTGCTCCAGAAGGAGGGGTCAGTGGCCATGGGTCTCTCCCCAGCACTGACCTTAAAGCTCCAGAGAGGCCAGGATGGGCTACAGGGCCCTCCAACTGAGACCAGTAACATTCCCAGATGACTTGTAACACACGGGTGGGGACTGATGTGCAGTAGGCAGCCCAGTCCCACTCAGAGATGCCTCAAATCCCATGGACCACCCGAGAGGAAGATGGCACAGTGTGAGCCAAGGGCCCTGGGTCCAGTCCCAGATTCTTGCAGAAAGAGGCCCAGGTAGGGCCTCCTGTGCTGGACCCAGGGGCTATTCATACATGGTTCTTACCCAGGATGAGGGCTTACCTCAATGAGGGGAGCAGGCTGCTCACAAGGCACTGGGAGGGAGAGCCACTTGGGGAAGGTCATGGAGGGGCTCTGGAAAGCAAAGGCATATTGCTCTGAAGGAGGCAGAGTGGGAGAGACCTAGGACCATATCCCAAGGTCCTCAGAGCAAAGAGAAGGGCACCTGAGCCTCAGAAACTGAGAAAATTCTGTTCCGGGGTCCACTGAAGTCCAAGGTGGCAGTTAGACTACCTAAGCTCTTCTGCTATACAGGAGGCCCCAGGAACACAAGCTCTGAGAGAGGCAGGTGGCTTCAAAGGTCAGAGGATATGAGAACATGGCCTCAACTCTCACCATGAACTTCCAGCATTCCTACCTGGCTAATTTCCATGAAGGCCTCCTTCTGAGTCTTACCATCCACTTTCAGCCCCACACCCAGCATTCTTAGCCATAGCTAAGAGCCTCCCCGGGAAAGGGCCAACCCAACAGCTCTGTGCTGGTCACTTACCTTTGGTCCCTGCTGGTAAATCTGCAGTTCTTCCACTGTGAAAGACAGCCACAGTGGTGATGGCTGTCGTAGAATCAGGCGCAGCTCCAGTACTCTGGCCATGTCACACAGCATCTGACATACATACACACACACACACACACAAGGACCCAGCAAGGCCCTAGCTCACTGCCCAAGAGCCTCCCAACAAGCAGTGAACCAAGATGCTGCCTCCCCAGACCTTTGGGAAGGAAAGAATAGTAATCCCTCCAAGGTACAAGCCCAGGCCAACCTTGCCCCCCCTCTTCCTTCCTGGTATCCTGGCCCAATTCCCAGGGCCCCAGTGAGCCCCCATCTGGACTCCCCTAGTCATGCTGAGTCCCAGCTGACCTGGTGTTTGAACAGTGATACATATTCCTGGGCTCCCTCCTCACTGTGTGGGTCGGGCATGAGGCAGTAGTCTCGTAGGCAGGTCACCCACTTGGCCGGTGTGTGCGTTGAGGTGTGCTGGCGAACACGGATGCTCAGAAAGGCTGTGTAGTAATTCTTAAACACGATCTCCTGTAACTAGAGTATACACAGCCCACCATGACAAATCAGACCCAGGCCCAGGGCCTAAGAGGCTCAAATATACCATCTCCTCCCCTTAGGAATGTACTCTACTACCAATCTAACAATTTCAGCAAGCATCCACTGGGGCCCAAAAACAATTTCACTTTCCTAGAAGAGCTCATAATCTAAATGAGCAGGTCATGCAAATAAACCATGACTGCAGATCTTGTCACAAGTCTAAGATGCTGCCAGAGGTCAGAACCCTAACTCTAGAGAAGGCAGAAAATGGACAGATGAGGCCTGAAGGAGTTCATCAAATGAACCAGGAAAGGCAGACAATGTAAAAGTAACATATGCAAAGGGGCACCAAGGGGTAAGAAAACCTGGGCCTACCCATGAAATGGCAGTGATTCAGCCTGGCTCTGGCAATTCTTATCACTGGACACTCATCAAAATCACCCAAGGAATGGGGCGCCTGGGTGGCTAAGTCGGTTGAGCGTCCGACTTCTGCTCAGGTCATGATCTCAGGGTTTGTGAGTTTGAGCCTCATTTCGGGCTCTGTGCCTCCCCCTCTTTCTGCCCCTCCCATGCTCATGTTCTGTCTCCCTCTGTCTCTCAATAATAAATAAACATTAAAAAATGTTTTTAATTTAAAAAATATTTTAAAAAAGAATCACCCAAGGAAGTTGTGTTTTTTGTTTTTTGGGTTTGTTTTTTTTTTTTTAATAAAGATGTGTAGGCTCCACATCCTATTGTATAAGGATTTACAGAGTTGGTTCCATTTAGTAAAGTTTCCTAGCTTATAGTAAGAAACAGTTTGAAAAATGACCACACACTACCGGACAAAGTGCATGGGGTCAAGAAGCAGGCATGGCACAGAAACAGAGTGGCCCTTAGGTCATTAGAAAGAGGACTTTGTCCTCTATGTTGAGGTCTTGTAGTGTTTGTCACTCTGCCAATAGTTGTGGACTGGACACGCAACTGTATGTTGGAACCTGGATATTGGAACCCCAGACATGGGGATGACCCTGATGAGGCATGAGCTGAACCTGACCTCCAGCAGGCACTGCAGGAATGGGCAGGAGGCAGATTTTGGGATAACTCATTGTCTAATGATCCCTAGCTCAGTGACCAGGAACAAAAAGACCTCTCACCTCTCCTTGGTTCACAATTGCATTACCAGCATCACCCTATACTATCTTGGCACTTCTACGCCAGCCCTGTCCTGGATACGGGGCAGAGATGTTGAAGAGAACAGGACAGAAAGCTGCACTGTAGTAAATATGTGTTTACTGGAGGAATAAATAAATGGTTAACTGATTCACAAGGGAAAGAACACTGCAGAGGCTTCCTGTAAAAGATTAACCAGGACAAGCCCGAGTTCCCAGGTCAGCCCCGCCCAGGAGCCCCGGTCGCGCCCACGGGGCTTGCTCACCTCGAAGGGCGGGACGCTGGGGAAGGTGACATCGATGACCAGCACACCAGGCCGGCCCTGGGAGGTTCGCACGTCGCCCACCTGCAGGGCCACGGTGCCTTTCACATGGCAGGGCACCGACACACGGGACATGGTGTCAGCAACCGCGACCAAACCCAACCGCTGCTCCTGGCCTGTGTCCACTGGTCCTTCCCGGCGTCCCTAGCCAACACCCAAGAACTACAACTCCCGGAAAGACTCGCGCTGGGCCAGCCCAGCCAATTATAGATGCTCTCGGCCGGCAGGGAGTCGGAAGTGCCTGCGGAAGTGTTCCTTCAGCCAATCACGGCGCGAGCATTTAGGAGGTGTTGTGGGGTCCTTGCCCAGAAACGCCCGAGCCATTCTCTGTCTGAGCTGTCCAGACCCTTCTCTGCTCCGAGTTTTGCTCCGTTACGGGTTCTGTACTGGGCAGTCGTTGTTTAAAACATGTTAAGCCATGAGCACTACTGAACATAACACCCGGCCAGCATTAATTGCAAAAATAGATATGAACACCACCTCCTTTTTTAATGGACAAAGGATTTGAACATGTAATTTACAAAAGAATATAAATAGGTAATAAACCTATGAAAAGATGCTTAACATGGTTGTTTATCAGGGAAGTGCAAATCAAAACTCCCACAACCCTACTGAATAGGCTAAAACTAAAGACCCAAGGATGTGGAATGCCTGGAACCTTAATCCATTGGTAATTACCAGCCATTATGAAAAAGTTTTGGCATTTCTTTAAAAACGAAATTTAGGGGCGCCTGGATGGCTCTGTTGGTTAAGCATCTGACTCTTTCTTTTTTTTTTCTCCTCCCCACCCCAAGCCTCTGACTCTTTGATTTCAGCTCAGGTCATAATCTCATAGTTTGTAGGCTGACAGTGAGGAGCCTGCTTGAGATTCTCCCTCTCTCTCTTTCTGCCCCTCCTCTGTTATGTCTGTCTGTCTGTCTGTCTCTCTCAAAAATAAATAACAATTAAAAAATAAAAACTAAATTTATACCTACAATATGATCCAGCCATTGTATTTCTAAGTATTTACCCAGGAGAAATGAGGCATATGGCCACTCAAGAACTTTATTCACAATAGCCAGAAATTGGAAATAGATGTCCAATATATAAACAGATAGACTAATTGCAATATATCTATAAAACAGAATACTGCTCAGCAGTAAAAAGAAATGAACAAATCCAAATATCTACCAACATGTGAATGGGTAAACAAATCTTGCTATATACATATGATGGAATTACTCAGCCTTAATGCTTACGTGGGAACACTGAAAATATAATGCTAAGTGATTAAAAAAAAAAAACAGACATGAAGGACAAATATTGTTTGATTCCACTTACATGGGGTACTTAGAATAGGTGAATTCAGAAACAGAAAGTAAAGTATGTCGCCGGGGCATAAGGGGAAATAGAGAGTTACTGTTTAATAGGTACAAAGTTTCTGTTTAGGATGATGAAAAAAATTATAGAAATAGTAGCGATGATTATACAACACTACTAATGTACTTAATGCCACTGACTTAGACACTTAAAATGAGTAAAATGGTAAATATTATGTATGTTTTATTTTTAAAAAATTTTACAGGGGGGCGCCTGGGTGGCTTAGTCGGTTAAGCGTCCGACTTTCGCTTAGGTCATGATCTCGCGGTTCGTGGGTTCGAGCCCCGCGTCGGGCTCTGTGCTGACTGCCAGCTCAGAGCCTGGAGCCTGTTTCAGTCTGTGACTCCCTCTCTCTCTGACCCTCCCCTGCTCACGCTCTCTCTCTCTCCTAGAAATAAATAAAAACATTAAAAAAAATTTAAAAAAAAATTTTACAGGAATGAACAACTAATATGCAGAACACCACTAGATCTCAAATGTACTATGTTAAGCAAAAAAAAAAAAAGCCAAACCCAAAAAAGTACATACTGTATGATTCCACTTAACATGAAATTCTAGAAAAGACAAAACTAATCTATAGTAATATAAATAAGAATTTTTTTTTCCTGGAGCTGGGAGTAAAGGGAAGGGATTGACTATGAAGAGGTACAAGGGAATACTTTGGAGTAATGGAAAGGTTCTACAATTGTGGTGGTAGTTAATATTTATCTAGACAGTTGTCATAATTTACTAAACTGAATACTTGGAGTGCCTGAGTGGCTCAGTCGGTGTAAGTTATGACTCTTGATCTCAGCTCAGGTCTTGATCTCAGGATGGTAAGTTCAAGCTATGTGTTGGGCTCCACACTAGATGTGAAGCTACTTTAAAAAAAAAAAAAAAGGAAAGAAAGGAAGGAAGGAAGGAAGAAGGAAAGAAAAATATTTTATTTTTTAATTTTTTAATGTTTTATTTATTTCTGAGAGAGAAAGAGAGAGAGAGCGTGAGCAGGGGCAGTTCAGAGAGAGAGGGAGATACAGAATCTGAAACGGGCTCCAGGCTCTGAGTTAGCTGTCAGCAAAGAGCCCGACACGGGGCTCGAACCCACAAACCGTGAGATCATGACCTGAGCCAAAGTTGGAGGCTTAACCAACTGAGCCACCCAGGTGCCTCGGAAAGAAAAAGATTTTAGTGTTAAGTAATCTCTATACACAATGTGGGGCTCAAACTAACAACACTGAGATCAGGAGTCACGTGCTCTACCCACTGAGCTTGCCAGGCGCCCCACGATTTGTGCATTTTTATTGTATCTAAATTATACCTCAATAAACATGATTTTGAAAGGAAAAAAAACAAAGCAAAAAATAAATATTAACCATTATGTTTATCACCACCATCCTTCCAAGCACTTGTAGAAACAATGCCTCAGGGATCATTGATTAAGCCTGTTTTATTGATAACAAAGCTGAGGCCAGAAGTGGTGCAGTGATTTCCTGAGCCAATAAAGCAGTATGGAGTAGAGACGGAACAAGGCCTTCTTTGGGGCTCCTTCCTCACAAGGCAGAACCCTCCAGGTAATGGTCAGCTTTGGTGACCTGGGCCTTCTCTGTGTTGAGGAACCCAAAGGCACAGGTCCAGTGTAACACTTAGGGCTTTCATAGTAGGTTATCAGACAGTAACAAAACCAAGATTTGAAGCCAGCCCACGGAACAACGGGAAGAGTTGTGCTTTCCCGGCCCAGGCACCCAGACTTCCAGTGACAGAAAACATTCCCTGGCTTTTCATTGGCTGTTGTCAAGGGAAAAGAACTTGTGTCCTTGGGTCTCTTGGACTGGCCATTGCTGTCTCCATTTTGACTCAAAGTAATGACTGCCTGGGTCCCTTCAGTTTCCTGAGACTTTCCTCTTCATAAAGACCACCCCATGCTGGAGCAGAGGCTTCCCCAAATCCCAAAAGATTATAGGTTCCCTGGGATTCAGGAGGGTACACACGGGCTCTGGTCTTTAGAACTCAGCTCTGAGAGCAGTCACAGTGTCACCAGCTAGACCCCAAGATGTGAACTATACTGATTACCTGCTTGTACTTACCAACTTTTGTCCCACATTTTTCCTTAAACTCTTCTTTCCACCTTATCTCTTAACTCAGGCAAAAGACCCCATGGGCATAGAATCCTGGATGCAAACCAAAACAACCACTCCAGGAATAATGGACTGCCTAGATGAAGAGCTCTGGCAACCCAGACTACCCAGACTAGTTTGAGCTTAACACCTGTCTCAGGCCTGGAAAGATGGACAACGGAGTGACCCATGGAGTGACCGATAGTTACCTTTACCTCATTATAATACTAAAATCTCTGCCCTAGGCAAAGTGCAAGCTTCATTTACATAACACACAACATATGTTCAGGTACGTTTCCTTAAGGCACATATGTAGCCTTATGCCCACTTCTATATACGATGACAAGGCTCCCATTTCTTCTTCCAATTTTTTGGTTTTTAGTTTATTTATTTATTTTAGTAATCTCTACACCCAAAATGGGGCTCGAATTCATTATCTTGAGACCATGAGTCATGTGCTCTCCCAACTGAGCCAGCTGGGTGTTCCAAGGCTCCCATTTTTAAATATTCATCTAACCCTAGGGTGACACCTAGTTAGCTCAGTCAGTAGAGCATGCCAATGTGGGAAACAAAGGCAAAAGAATAAATGTCCTTGCTACTTACAGCCCATTGACAAGTCTTTGAGACAGGCAGAAGGACCTTCCACAACTCATCTGCCTCAATGTTAATACTTTGCTCGAGGCAAAAAGCAACCTTAACTTGACCAGAGACTACCTCCAGGATCCTGTAAATCTTCTTTCACATATAAAAAAATCCCTTTGGAAACTTCCTTTATCTGTGCCCACCCAAGATATATATTAGCAATCATCCTCTAAATTTATGGCCCACTGATACACATCTGAAGGATCTCATGATTAGTATTTTACTAGACAATAGCAAATAACTTTGTCTTAATAGCAGCTAGTCCCTCAAGGTCCTAGAAACCTTGCTTCCAAAATACCTTTAAGACTTAAGCTATCCCTACCCCCTCCCAACTTGAAGGTATGTAATCAGTCACCCATCACAACCCCAGTTCAACTCTTTCTGCCCATAGGTCCTGTCCCCATGCCTTAATAAAAGCACCTTTTTGCACCTAAGACATCTCAAGAATTCTTTTATGGCCTGTTGCCTCCAAACCCCAACACTTCAAATCACATCACATGCAAGTCTTTTTTTTGTTATTGTTTTTTGTTTTTTTTAAAGTAGGTTCCATACCCAGGGACTTGAGATCAAGACGTAAGTGGACATCAGAAGTCTGACTCCCAAACAACTGAGCCACCCAGGCACCCTGAGCATGGGACTCCTGATCTCAAGGTTGTGAGTTCAAGCCCCAGGTTGACTGTAGAGCTTACTGAAAAGAAAAGGGAAGGGAAGGGATGGGAAGGGATGGGAAGGGAAGGGAAGGGAAGGGAAGGGAAGGGAAGGGAAGGGAAGGGGAGGGGAGGGGAGGGGAGGAGAGGGGAGGGGAGGGGAGGGGAGGGAAGGAAACACCAAACTGCCAAGAAACAGTGGAAAAGTGACCAACCGACTAATTGCCTTATAACTCTCCCTATTTTGAGGTGCCTAGTTCAATCAGTAGAGGATGTAATTTTTTTAAGCTTTAATTATTTTTGAGAGAGAGAAAGAATGAGCAAGGGAGGAGCAGGGAGAGGGAGACACAGAATCTGAAGCAGGCTCCAAGCTCTGAGCTGTCAGCATAGAGCCTGATGCAGGGCTTGAACACACAAACC